CTATGCTTGTAAATATTGGTGCATCCAACTGCTAAATTCTTAACATATTTACATTGTACATTTTGTCAATACAAATTAGAAAAGTTTAAAAGATTTATTCTTAGCTTAGCTTATACTTAGCTTATTTACTTTGAGTGGATGTACACATGTATGGAGTTCTGCTTCTTTCACGTGCAGAGTATACGAAAAAAGTATTTGGAATATAATTTACAAAACATTAATTAGCTATCCATTTTTTTAATATTAAATTATGCGAATCACGCCGCAATCATTCAATGAATACATGATTTAAAAATGTCAAAGGTGTCATAAAAATTAATAATTATTCAACATAAATAAAGATCAAAGCGATTAGTAAAATAAAAAACAATATTTGACTTTTAAATAAATAAATAAAAGATAAAATAAATAAAATATCTGCAAAACTATGTAAAACTACTTATTTAAACAAAGATTCCCTTTTTAATCACTTTCCTTAGCTGGTTGCTGCTTTTCTAATGACTCTTACAAACAGTTTTAAGAGAGTTTGAAAATTTGCTAGAGTCGTTTTAAATCCTATTTTCGTAATTGAAATCGATAATTTATACAATTTATTAATGTGGTTTCAGTGTGATGTGCGAACATTATGTACAACATTTTTATAAAGTATGTATATCCATATACGTGTAGCCCTATCTATCAGTCATTTGTAGTTTTTAAAAAGGGCTTTAAGTACGTTGTAGAAAATGTTCTTTCTATATGCTTCAAAGTTGTAATGATACTTAAACAGGCTATTTAAATTTGTTGTTTTCATCACCTTTCAAAAATATGATCCTTTATTTAAATATTTTAAAGCAATTCGTATTTGATTTCAACAACATTTTCTTCAAAACTGGTTGTCTCTGATGCTTTCTGTTAAACCGAAACAGTTTATCTTCGCATAATGGAAGTTATTGTTTGAAAGTCTTTAAGTATTTTATGCTAGAATGCACTACAAGTATTATTGGATGTGTTAATTAAAATAAAATAAGTTATTATTATAAAAACAGGATTAAGTTTGATTTTCATTTATGACTCATCCCCTTTTGGTATTCTAACCAGCTTTAAAGGCGTTAAAAGACAGTGTTCCACTTCCACTTCCTACTCCTATTCAATTCAATACCTGGTGTAGATTAAATCGTTAATGTATAAAATCTGATTGGCATTGAAGCATTAAATGTAGTAAAAGCAGCTCGGGCTGAAATATTCAACAATGTAAATGGCCTTGTCTATGCTAATATTAAGCTTAAAGTCCTAAGAAAACAGTTTAGCGAAGGCAAATATTTAGCGGAGTGGATGCGGGAGAGGGGGGCTTGTGGTTACAACAATGGATGGATAAGTCCACTGGAACGAATATTTAACAACATACTGTGATAAAGAGACAGAGAGAGAGAGAGAGAGAGAGAGAGAGAGAGAGAGAGAGAGGGAGAGGAATGCGAATGTTTGTTTTCACATATTTATTTTGGAGTTTGCTTTCGAGTGCGTCTGTGGGAGGCCAATGGAATTTCTTGGCAGTAGAGATCGAAATATTTCGGTGGCGTGTCTATGCGTGTGTGTGTTCATGTAAATATTTTGTGAGTTTTGTGGTAACGAAAATGTTGTTCTACAGCTGGCGCCAGTCCCTGCGACATCTACTGGCAACTTGTCATATTCGCAATCGCATTCGCGTTGGACACGAGTTAAGGTTGCATTTCAAAAAAAAAAGAAAAAATAGTTGAAAGCAAGACTGGGACTTAAAACAAGTGAATTGAGAGGGGAGTTGGCAGAGCATGTCATACACGAAATGTAACACCGACAAAGGATGGCTCCCGGGGGATCGGAAACAGACGAGGGTAAGCGACAAGTTTGGGCGGTGGCTGCATTTTGGAGGCGAACCCGATGCTGGCAGGAACTGTAGCTATTGCTGGTAGCTGTGGCTATCGGGCCCATGTCTATGTGCCCCGCCCCCAGGTAAATGACTAACTTTTACTAAAACTACTGCTTTACACAGGAAGCTTGCCAACCCATTGGTTGTGTGGTATGTGCAGGAAAATTTGCATTGTTGGCCGCCAGGCTCACAAGAGCCTATGTTGGTATTCATGCTTCAGGTAGTTGCATGGAATTTTAAATTGAATTTGAAATGTTGCTGCCTAAGGCAAAGAAGGCTGGCCGAAGGGACGAGTCCATTAGTGGCTGCAAGCGCTAGACGCGTAATATTGTTATGACAGACAATTATTTGTGGCCCGATTCTGTTTTCACTCTAATGGAATTAGTTCGAAATTGGATTTGCCAAAAAGCAGTATGTAATACAAACATACGAGTACACGACTACAAGTATGCATACACTGTCTGCATATTTAATGTGCGCCCTGTGGCAACAACAGCGTTTGTTGTTCTGAGTGAGTGGCCCTCGGCGTCCTGGGCGTGGCATTGTCGCGTGCAGCCCACAACACCAATAGACATTTTAGTTTAATTGGCAAACAGAGTCCGCAACACCCGCTTCAAAACAATCACAGATAGCTGCGGGGACTGCCTCTAAACCAAATAGTCCGACTGCTTTGATTGGAGAAATGACTGCAACTCGGTTAGTTTGCGGCCCAGATTGGAGTTGACCGCAATAGACGCCGTTGACGAAACAGAAGCCGCATTGGCCAGCTTTGTGGCAAATCGAGTTGATTGCATAAGTCTCTTAAGAAGCTTTAAGGTAAACATTTTGCACGACATTCAGACTTATTGTGTGGCATGTATATGAAAACCTTTATTTGCCATGTCTGTCTACTTTTGGGTGAGACTGGGTAGATATGATTTGGTACTGCTGTTATAACTCAACATTGGTATTTACCTTTTCTTCCTTCTGAATATTATCTTGAAATAACAAAATTTGTGTTGAAGACTTTAATCATTTGATTGAAAAATAAAACGAAAACAATACTCTTATCCTAAATTGAACAAATTTGATTCCCAAGAGAGCTTTTCTTATTTGAATTTTTTTATATTTGTTAAACTCTTGCTAAAATATAAATAATTTAAATGGTAGTATAGAAATTATGTTCTCTAAGCTTATATATTTACATATATTTGTATATTGAAATTTTATAATATGCTTATATATTTATTATACGTAGTTGATCAGCGTAACGAGAGGATTTACCTGCCAGATCTGATGAGCCTTGGAATTCGAAAACGGTTTAATCCAAACGGACTTTAAAATAATACAAGTATTTATTCCCTAGGAAACACGGTTTTATTATTTACCCTTGTTTCTATAAAAATATAGAGGCCAAGAGACACACAAGTTGCAGATCGATAAGCTACACTGACCTTTTAACTCCAAACCACTTCAGCCCCTGGGCTACAAAGTCATCTTATAGTTCGAATTTTCTTAAACCAATATGGAGCTATAGCTTGGACCTAGGCAACATTGATGTGAAGAATTATGCACGCAAAATACCCTTTAAAACTCCTAACGAATTGCAGTCCCTTGGCCAAGTACTTCCGGAGGTAAACAGTTATCAAGACTATGAAGGAGAACTAAAATCATTAGAGCCGCCTAACCAAATATATAACCAATTAATGGGAAATAGTTAGCTGATTAGGTGAAGATTGGAAATGATATCGCTGAGCAAAAGGGCAGATTTAATAAATAATAATAAAGTTTCTAAAACAACATGGAAAACTTTAGTTATTGCACCAAACATATTTAGATTGGCCAAAGAATGACAAACGAAAGGTTAATATTTAACGGCAAGCCGAAGAGTTTGTTCTTAAAAATATTTAACTGACAATATAATCTGAAAATTTACTCATCGTCCAGTGGCCAGATCGAAAGTAAAGATGCAAATGGTCAAACATATTTATTTGAATTGTTTAAGCGTCAGCCAACGTATGTATGGAATATCTTTTTTCATAATTAACCGAAGGTGCTGTTTGTTGTGTTTTCCACATGATGTGGAACGAACGGCATTTCACGTACGAGGCTGGCAGATGGATTTCAATTTAAACATTTCAATTATTTACACGAACAACGGTCGTAATGATTTAACATTGAAATGCAATTTAGATGTTGCTGTTGTGCCAAGTGTTTTATAACACACTGAAGAATTTGCCATTTACAATGAAATAATCATTGTAAATTTATTTCCACATGCGCCTAATTTATTGGCCGCTGGCTGGGTTGGGTCGGTATGGTCGGGTATGGGGCTAGTGGGTCTGTTCCCAACTCAAGTAGGGTTTGAAAAGTGCCAGGAGTCGGCTTTGAATATTTAATGTTGAGCATTGTGCACCATGCTGTGTCGAAAGTCCCCAATGGCGCATAAGAAGTGTCTACGCTTAAGGCTCCAGCTCCAACTCGGAGTGAGGCTGTGAAACCACCAGTGCGTATGAGCGATTTGGGTTTGGGTCTGGATTTTACGCGTTCGATGCACAGGCAAGGAGGCCGTGTGCCAAACACTTTTACGATGTTGAAAGCCACGGCTAAGGAAATACGAAGGAGAAATGAAAGACAGCGAAGCGAATGGGTCGTTTGTTTAACGCCTGATTATCCCAAATCAGCAAATAGATTTGGCGGCAAAATGGGCAAAGGATAAATAGCGGAAGCTTGGGAGCGCCAAAAATTATGCGATTCCATTGGCGCACGCGGCAAAGGGAGCGATCGAAAAGTAAACAAATCAAAGGGCAAACACGAGGACAAAACGGAAAAGTCCTGCACACACACACACACACACACACAAACAAACATAAAGCAGACATACCGAGCGCACGCTGACAATGTAAACAAGAAAGGACACGCAAAATTGCTAAAGACACGGGACGATAACGACGACGAGCTGAGTGGGGCAGGAGGGGTGCAGTCATTGATGGGGTCGTTGCTGAACATCAGCACCTAGGACCTGCCGATTAGTGCCCACAAATGGCAGGGCAAATAATCGAATGAAATTTAACTGAAATGTCACGAAATATGTGTCACGACATTGCAATTAGGCATTTAATTAATCAAAACAAACCTTTCTGGGTGCTCCTTTCTCCTCGTCACCGTACCGCTTGCTCCCTGGTGCGAACGAGTCCGCTGGCCAACAACAAATTATCGTCAATCGTCCTCTGCTTGTGCATCTAATGAGCGGCAAATAACGGCGCAGTGGCAGCGGCAGCGGAAGCGGTCAATATAAAAAGTTAATGCCCCAGCGGGCCTTATACATATATTTGGTCGATATTTAGTACACACACACACACACACACTCACAAACACACACACATACACGACAGATTCAGATATATGTATACGGATGCATGGATGGGTGCTGTAAATATTTATGTGTATATATCTATATATGCATACAAAATATCTGCACTTGTTGTACACTTTTTATTTTTAGAAAGATTTTCTCTGCGGTCGTTGATTTTCCACTTGAACTGCAATTTGTGTTTTGCCCGTTGTTGTTGTTGTTGTTGTTGTTGTCCGTCTTCACGGCAACAATTACGAACACTACAACAAACAATAATAGCAACAACAACAACAATAATAATAACAATAACATCTATAGTGACAAACCGGGAAAGTATTTGTAGATTTGTGCGTTTGAAGAAATCGTAAATTTGTTTATTTAAATTAATGTCTGTCTGACTGTCGCGAGCCCGATTATTACGGTAGTGTGCGTATTCCAAATGCCGACAACGGTTTTTGAATTTAACGTGCGGGACTCCGTCGTTCTGCCTTCCACGTGCGAACGCCGTCGAGTGTTTGAATGAGAGAAGGCGAAAGCCGTGCGATGCTTCGTGTCGGGTCGGCTCATGTCGTGCTTGGCGTGCTTTCGTTCACTGCACACACACACACACACACACACTCATTGCACACAGACACACCGCAGGCGGTTGTGACATCACAGAAAAGCTTTTCTGCTGCTGGCGACGTCATCGATTTTGGCATAACTTGTTGTAAGAAAAAGCTTTGGTTTGTTCACATTTTATTAGCATTGTTGTCAATTCTCTCAGCTATTTAGCCATTTTCCCCGCCAGTTTTGGCTGTTTTCACATGCTGATTGCGGTTGCAGGGACTTTTACCATTTCTAGATGTTCAACTAAAAGTCCTTTGAAAAAAATAGTAAGGTCTTTTTGCTAAATTATGCTGTACTTGGTATAACTACATGTATAGATGTTTATATTACCTTGGGTGTATAGCAGTATAGCAGTGATTCGAATATGTTTTTCAAGAGAGCTATTTAGGAAGGAATTTATACCGTTTCTAGATGTTCGACCAAAAGTCGTTTGAATAAAAAGCGTATTTATGCTTTTCTTGGTATGTCTACATGTATAGATATTAATATTCCCATAGATTCCCATAAATTGTTTGCCAACGTTTTATATTTTTATATCGGAAGTCGAAGAAAGTATTATCTTGAAATATTGGTTTCATATTTCGTATCGAAATACATAAAAATATTCTAATCTTACGAGCAGTCAATGAGTCAATGAGCAGAAAGAGTTTGGAAAACAATGAAAAGTAATTAAAATACTTGTACTTTGTTTAACTATTTCTAGCTTGTTTTTATTGCTAATCTAGCTTTTTTGCCACTCAATAATTGGCAACCCTGCAGACTTCGCTTCTATAGTATTTGTAGTTTGCATTTATTCCCTTGCTTATTTGCTTCCATGCACATTGTTTGTGTGTCTATTGTTATTATTTTTGTCTGTTTTTCTGCAGTGACTTTTTATTATATTCATTGCTCTGCATCGCTTTGAATTCGCTTCCAAAATCCACCAGAATCTGGCTGCAGCATTTCATTTTTTTGGTTGTGATTCTGTTTATGCGAGTGTTTTCCGTTATACAGAGCTTTTGTCTTTTCCGTTGTTTACATTGGCGCCTTTATGAGGGAAAATGCTGGCATTATTATTTATATTACTCGACATATTATTTGAATCTTTCTGTTTTGTTTTTGTTTATGGAATCCACGATTGCTCACTGTTTCTGCATCTGATTTTAGAATTTTATTCTCGAAAGATCTTTCGCAACATTATAAAATTCGCTTCGTAACATCTTAGCTCATCTCACTAGTGGCTATTATGATGATTCACTTTGATCTGCGGAACATGCCTGGTTTTTCTGTAGATACATGGGTGTTTACACAAACTGAGTGCGTAGGGTGTGGCAGGTTTTAGGTCTTCAAGTTGATTCACAATTCACGAAATTATCGAAGAGAAAGTTTTATGCGGCTCGCTTGGCGCAAAAATAGATCCGTGGAGATCTAGACCTACATAGGTTCTTCAACAATTTTTAGCAAATCCTGGGCCCGTATTTCCACCTAACTAGCTTCCTTAAACGTCAATATCAATATGAAGTTGGACCCACGTTAACTCCAAACTTAGAGCCGCCTGTGCTGAGAATTTTACTATTCAGACGTACTTGTATACTTATAATGTAAAATAAGGTTTCTGCTTTTCAAGAACCCTTTTTCTTCATCTTAAAAGCTCATAATCCTTTCGTCTGAGATCACAGCTTTTAAATTTTATGGGATCGATAAAATATGCAGCTATCATTTCGCTTTACTTATATTATGATTCTCTTTTTCAATAACTATAGTTACCTTTTTAAAGTGGTCTCTCTGCCTAAGCTGGCGCCAAAAAGAGAAATAAGTTTTATCGAAAAGAAGGCTTTATTACCTTAAATTTCCTGATGTCGTGTAATCCCAGAATAATTTCGAATTAGAAAAAAGTTCTTTTAAGTTGCTCTAAAGGTGTGCATTTATTATGTTCTTGTTAAAATTTAAAACCAAAGAAATAAAACATAAGACTGCTTCGCCAAAAGTAAATTCGAATTAATTGCCACGGTTTCTTTCTGGCCTTCTTCAGTATCCACTGGAAACCCGAAATTATTGAGATGTAACTTGATCATTGACAACAACAGAATTGTGTTGGTCAACTTTTGCGGTTTGATTATTTTTTTGGCTTATCTGGCTAGAAAGTCCATTGCCTGCATCGGAATTCGCTTTTGATTTTTCATCTATTTCTTTATGGATATCGAGAAATGGTTCAGGCGGTTCAGCCGTAGTCTCTGCAGATGATTCAAATAAAACTTGATCTTTGAGAACAATAGAATTATTTGGATGAACTTGTACGGCTTCATTATTTTTTTGGCTTATCTGGTTAGAAAGACCATTGCCCTCTTCAGAATTCGTTTTCGATTTTTCATCTATTTCTTTATGAATATCGAGAATTGGTTCAGGCGGTTGACCCATAGTCTCTGCAGATGATTTAGATATAACATTATCTTTGAGAACAACTGAATTCTTTTGGTCAACTTGTACGGCTTCATTATTTTTTTGGCTTATCTGAATACCATTGCCTTCTTCAAAATTCGCTTTCGGTTTTTCATCTTTTTCTTTATAACTATCGAGAAATGGTTCAGGCGGTTCAGCCGTAGTCTCTGCAGATGATTCAAATAAAACTTGATCTTTGAGAACAATAGAATTATTTGGATGAACTTGTACGGCTTCATTATTTTTTTGGCTTATCTGGTTAGAAAGACCATTGCCCTCTTCAGAATTCGTTTTCGATTTTTCATCTATTTCTTTATGAATATCGAGAATTGGTTCAGGCGGTTGACCCATAGTCTCTGCAGATGATTTAGATATAACATTATCTTTGAGAACAACTGAATTCTTTTGGTCAACTTGTACGGCTTCATTATTTTTTTGGCTTATCTGAATACCATTGCCTTCTTCAAAATTCGCTTTCGGTTTTTCATCTTTTTCTTTATAACTATCGATAAATGGTTCAGGCGGTTCAGCCGTAGTCTCTGCAGATGATTCAAATAAAACTTTATCTTTGAGAACAATAGTATTATTGTGACCAACTTGTATGGCTTCATTATTTTTTTGGCTTATCTGAATACCATTGCCTTCTTCAAAATTGGCTTTCGGTTTTTCATCTTTTTCTTTATAACTATCGAGAAATGGTTCAGGCGGTTCAGCCGTAGTCTCTGCAGATGATTCAAATAAAACTTGATCTTTGAGAACAACTGAATTCTTTTGGTCAACTTGTACGGCTTCATTATTTTTTTGGCTTATATGGTTAGAAAGATCATTGCCTTCTTCAGAATTCGCTTTCGATTTTTCATCTACTTCTATATCGAGAAATGGTTCAGGCGGTTGACCCGTAGACTCTGCAGATAATTCCGATATAACTTGATCTTTGAGAACAACATAATTATTATGATCAACTTGTACAGCTTCATTAGTTTTTTGGCTCATCTGGTTAGAAAGACCATTGCCTTCGTCAGAATTCAAATTCGATTTTTCATCTAGTTCTTTATAAATTTCGAAATCTTGTCCAGGCGGTTGATCCATAGTTTCATTATGAATATATTCTGCAGATAATTGAGATATTACTTGGTCATTGGCAAGAACAGAATTCTGTTGGTCAACTTTTACGGTTTCATTAAATTTTTGGCTTATCTGGTTAGAAAGACCATTGCCTTCTTCAGAATCCACTTTTAAATTTTCATCTAGTTCTTTATAAATTTCGAAATCTTGTCCAGGCGGTTGATCCGTAGTTTCATTATGAAGGTGTTCTGCAGATGATTTATCGATCATTTGATCGATGAGAACAACAGATTCGTGTTGGTCCACTTTTACGGTTTGACTATTTTGAATAGATTGATCGTCGATAGGGGTCAAGTGGTTTCTATCAATACCTTCGAGTACCCAGTATTGAGTTTTGCGCTGAGGATCGCACTCATTAAGCACTGGATAAACTATATTGGCTACCTCTAGGCAGAGCGCTCTAGAGCCCACCTTCATGCTGATGGAGTTCTGGTCCAGTTGCCAGGTCATTAAATACTTCTCCGGAATATCAATGCACGAAACGAGCTCCACTAGTGTAGGGTCTTCATTTTTAGCAACCATACAATTGAACTCGGAACGCAATTGCTTTGTTTTGGTGAAAAAGAAGAGAAATGCCGGATTAGTTGCCGCTTGGCAGTTCTCTACAGTCAGACTGTTCTTGGCCTCCGGTCTTATCCTCAGTTGATCACTGAGGCATTGATTGCCATAGGGGGATTTGATTCTGCAAGCAAGATGGCTTAACGTAGATATAACCTGCGAGTAGATGTGGCTACCAACCTGCCATATTTTGTTGCTAATTCTGAGGGCGTCATTTTTTCGGGGTAAACGTGCTTCAGAAACCAGTCGAAATTCTTACAGCCTATTTTATCGCGTACGCCCCCAAGTTTTTCCTGGGAGGGATCGAACAGATCTATGGATAGATCTTGGATTGGATAGAAGTAGAAGAATAGTCTCTGACGCCATTCCCACCAGCCGACAGCTGCATTGCCTCGATCGAATAAAGTCGATGTGGGCAGGCCTTTAAAACTCCTATCCAGACTTATACGCCCCACGCGGGAGCAAGGCAGCACTTCAATCTTGCCACTGCACAACCAAATGCTGAAGGACATTTCCAGTGTGTCGCCCTCGGTGTGCAGAACCTGGAAGATGTCGAACGTAAAGGAAGAAACTAGTGACGTATTAAGTAATACCACTAACCGTATCAATATTGGTGGCCAGGTAGTTGAATTGCTTATGCGTTATCGCGTACACATGGCCTGGCGGAATTACCGGACTCTCAATGGGACAAGTGGGCAGAGGTTGCTGACAAGTCTGGTTGGCAGCTGCTAGGCGCTTCTTTGAAACCGGTTCCATGTAGTACTCACCATTCCAGCTGAAGCCGCCAATGGTGGTGGGCTTCTCCCTATACTGCAGATAAATCGCATTGATTTCGTCCATAACAGGCATTACGACACTTTGAGGGGACTCGGCGATCCGTTGCATTAGGGGTTCCAGCCAGCCTACATTAGGCTGGCAGTAGCCATCCATAAAAATGAGAACCTCACCCGTGGCCAGCCTTGCACCAATTAGGCGCGACTCTGATATGCCCACAGGTTTCTCAATGCGTTCCAACCTAACCGGTATACCCGTACCCCTGCTGAACCGCGTGCTCACATAGTACCTCAGTTTGTCGCGCAACTCGGTCTGTGTGCTCCCGCCATCAACCAGAATGACTTCTTGGAGCAGAGCCGCATCGGTCCGCTCTATAATGCTGTACAATGTGCGGAGGAGCAGCGATATTGGCGTGTTCTCAAATATAACAATTACACTGGCCCGCATGGAACCACTTTTCTGGTAGCTCAGCTCCTTGCATTGTTCGTTGCGCACGTCTGGCAATCCATGTATATAGGATATCCTTTTGCTGAGCTCCACATTAAAGCCGTATTCGCGCAGATCACGAATACTGCTGTTGACCAACTGCGCGAATTCTGTCTCATTAGTCGGTGAGTTCGATTTCCGCAGGTCTTCACGCACACTTCGTTCCAGCCGCGAGCTCAAATATACCCTTTCTTTGGGAGCAAATGGATCGTTAAAGTGGTAACTGAATAGGCGTACTTGCGGCTGTTTCAGATTCGATATAAACGCCACAATCATTGCAAAAATCAGCAGTCCTATGAGAATTTTACGAAAATCGTCGTTCATGTTGTGTCCGTAGTGAAATAAAACTGATTTAAGTACGGAACGCCGTGGCTAGAGTTGGGGCTTTCGACACGCTACTTAATAGGTGTGACTAGTAATTTAGAATATTGGCAAAAGATATGGATGGCTGATACAACACTCAATCACGCTGTTGCAGCGTGTTTTATTTCAAAAATAAAACTAAGACTAATCGAATTGTTTGACAAAATGTGAATGTTTTCATTTAAAGTAAGTGTAAATAATACAAGTTCGAATAACTACTATTGTCTTCCATATTAAAACGTATCTCTCTTCTTGTTATTAATTTATAATAATATTTAAGAAGCATTTTATCACTTAATTTTTAAGGGCATGTACACATAGTATACATATAATATATTAACTAAATTAAACTCAATAAAATATTTATATAAGTTACAATCAATCAAAATTAGCAACTAAGACTTGGGCATAAACAAATTGTTTGACAAAATTTGAATGTTTTCATTTAAAGTAAGTATAAATAATACAAGTTTGAATAACTATTATTGTCTTCCATATTAAAACGTATTATGCATATTAAAAATTAAATAAATGAAATGCAGTAAAATATTTCAGTACTATAAGATACAATCAAGTACGAACGGTTGTGTGAGTTCAAAAGTTATCCCAAGTTTAAATACTTTTTGTAATTCTACAAATACTTTTTTATTATAAGTTTCATTTGATTTCGCAAGTTGACTTTGTAACACAATTGACACCCGCGTAAGTCGTAGGCAAGAAGTTTATTTAACAATAAGTTTCTTTCACACAAAAATTTGTAAAATATAGTATTCTATTATGTGTACAACTGTGTAACGAGGAGCCATGTATTACCCCACGAGATGTTTTCATTTGATGTTCTTTATTAATTCTGTGTGTTCTCTCTAAGTGCGCATACTACAGTGTTCCATAATAATATGATGATCATCTCTTTTTTTTTAAATAAGGTAATTAAGAAATTTGTTGATTTGTTTTTAATGTTTATATTTTTCAATATTAATGAATAACTAATCAGGTCAATACAACTAGCCCCTACATTTAAACAGTTCAGCTCTAATAGGGTGTAGGCAGGGGGGTGGGGGCCGTTGCCCCCTTAATATAAAGTCGACCACACGTTCATTACTATATGGCACTATTTCGCTTTACAATGGAACTGAGTTGGGTTTGTTGAAGTTTTTTCAATGACCATATGAATAAATTATTTTTTAAATGCATCGTACATTTATTTAATCCAATTTTTAATATTTTTGCAACCCCCTTTGTTTTAATTTGATTTCTCCTCCAGTGTAGCTATCTGCACATAATAATGAATATGGAATAAATTGATCGAATTATTTGGGAACCTATTTGAAATAGAAAAGCTAAATGTTTGAAATTAATTCTTTGGGTGTTAAAAACTTCAAAAGTAATGCCCGATAGATGTTTAAAAAAAATTAGATGTTTTTACTTAATTTGATGGAAAACCTTGACAAAAATACTGTCAGGTGTTTTAGGCATGATTTTTCATTTTGCAAATTTTTTAGTACTTTTTTGGTTTGATTTGATTGTAACTTGATTTTGATTCCTTTTTTTTGTTAAATTCACTTCAAACATTTTTTTATTGCCTTTTTTGTGCTCTGATACTATTTGTAGCTATTAAATAGGCTATATGAGCATAACATTTCGTGTCACTCTCACAGTTTAAGCATCTGTTTAATACTTAAATCAAGATCTACTTGGCGGTATTAACGTTTCAAAATTAATAGAAGTCTTTTTTTTTAACTGAAAAACACTCAAGTATATTTTCAATATGAAATTTCAAGTATGTTTTGATGAAAAGTTAACCACGTTCGGCGAAATTTCAGATGGCAATATTTCAACTATTTAGTATAAGTAGAACAAATCGCGTGGAACTGGATGGAAACTGGAAATTTAAATAATTTTTTGGCAACTTTAAAACCGAAGCCTGGAATAGCAATCAGCGATAAACTTAGTGTTAGAAGTGAGTTTTATTTAATTTAATATAATTTAACAATAATAATAATAATAATATTTAATAATGGGCCATTTCCCACTCTGAGAGATCCCATTTATCGATAGACAATGCAAAAAGGTGGCTTGGCTGTAGTGGAGAGAGTAATTATCGGGACGTTGCCAGACTCACGAAAACAATTACAATTAATTAGAAAATTATGCTGTAATGACGGCCACCAAAACAATGCATTTTTAGTTAGTTTATATTTTGTTTGAATGCCTGATGAAAACTGTTAATAACATTTATAAAACCTTCCCCATGGGCCAATATAATTAATGATGTTATTGTTGGAATATAGCGCGCATACACCACGGGGAGTGCTCTATTCATTATTCAAATAAAATCATGCATACATAGTATATCGCAAGTTTTATTATGATTGAGTGAAGCACCAACAACAACAACCAAATTTGGCTATCAATGCGAATTTATTGACGAATGCACGGGAAAAGTTGGGGCAGGCAGTCAATGCGACAAACGATTGCCGAACGAATCGAGCAACCAAACAAATCGTTACAATTGCGCTTTCGGCAAATAGCTAGAGCCCCATCCATAACAACAATAAGTCAGAGGAGAATGTGTCAATCGCTGCGCCAGCCAAGCGACAAGGCTGGAAGGCTAACTCGGGCTAAAGAGCAGAACAGTAAACAGAAATGCGGGCGCCATGACATCAGGTGAAAGAGCCACAAAGAGCCACAGACACATACATGTATATCGCAATGCATGTGTTGATTTGGCATGCCCGACGGCACATTATCATATGCCATGATTTATTAATGTGAGTGGCAATGGGTCTGCGACCCCCAACCCCAACTCCAACACCAACACCAAGCTGAACTGATGAACGATTCTCCTTGTGCTCGCAGCCCTTGGGCCCCTGTTTGTCGTCTGCGTCTGTGACGGGCACTTGAGAACTGCCAAAACTTGAAAAAGCTCTCAGTTGATTTACATACTTGACCCACATACAAATACTGCAAGAGGAGCGAAAAGAGGCGACGCCTCAACGTATGCTACACTTTTTGCGGCATTTTTTCTCCCCTTTCATCCCCTCCCCGATGGTGACGGCTATTTCCGTCGCCTGTTAGCTTGAGTTGTTGTAACATTTACACAATTGGGCCGCAGCCAGCGGCGCTTGAATAAACTCGATCAATATTTGGCAGATACGAGTATAACGCACAACAAAATCGACGCGCAGACAATGAAAGCGCCAGCCTAGGGGCAACAACAAAGCAACAACAAAGAGAAACGGGTTGTGTCGACCTTAAATGCGGCTACGCTTTAAGTGATAAGCAGATGGCTGGCTGGTTAGATGGCTGGCCCACTTGCCAATTGTTGCCGTCGGCCCAGGTGCATACAGCACCCAATTAGAAGGGAATGTGCCCGTGCAGATTTGGGGGGGAAATTAAATTTATGTAAATCTGTAAACTTTTTAATTAACTGACTTTTAAACGCCACTCGCGGCCTACGACGCTTTCTTGCCAATTCAGCTTCGCCAAATTTCGACTTAAATTGAATCTATGCAAATGGAGTTAGCACCTGTCGGCGTCGGCTCATTTTATGTCCAAATGCCAGTCACTCCCCATTCTTCCCATCCTTAATTCTTTTAGTCGCTCTGCCGCCGCACAAGTTTATTGAAAGGCGAGTCAAAGTCGTGGCACAACGCCAGCTTTAATGAGAAATTAAGTTGTGTATCTATGTAGGTCTAGGTGTGGCTGACTATCTTTTTGTGCATTGGTTTAATGGCTTCTTCGCCTCCTCCATACAGATGTATTAATTTGAATATGTTGAGGCTAACATGGCTGAGTGGTTGGTTTCTAATAAGCCGCAAAGCCTTACTTTATGATGAGGCACACAGAAAAATATAGTTATGGGAAATGGCAGCATACATATGATGTTATGAATGCGATTCGTGAGTGTATTTGTAAACGAATTTCCATTTCAAATGAGTTGCTAATGGCATCAACGCTGCCTGCCTTGCGAAATGTGTGCAGGAAAGCGCAAAGCACCCGCCTAAATTTGCAATATAATACCCTTTTGCCTCCAGCGCATGAATAAGCAAATGTGACCAGAAATAGTAATGGGCTCCATTTCAAATAAGAACGTTAAAGTGAACACGGCTTGAATGGCTTGACGAAAATTTGTTCCTAATCTATTTGCACTTATATACATTTGTAGATGAAATGAACTTTAAAGCGTATTCTTAAGGTTAAATTCAACACTGAGTCTTTCAACTATAGCCCCTCGATTATTTTAATTATAGTTTTCATTTCTTTGAGTGGGTCGATGGCTCGGCAGCCAATGAAAAAGCCGACATAACCTATTCTAAGAAAACATAGCTAAAGTAAATGTCTAGCCTCAGCCTTAAAGCATCAATTATTTTAATCAATTGTTTATAATGTTTGTGACGCTTACAGTACTTACCAATTAAAATATGTATGTATATATATGGCGTGGACTAATGGCAAATGAATGCACGTTTTCTAGAAATTACACCAACATAATTTGTTAATAAAAACCGCTTCTATAATTTCACAAATTTGGTTCAAAAAAAAACTAATATAATAATAATAAATAAAATTTAAAAAAATAAAATAATAAGTAATATTTTTGTCTGATTTCCTAATTTAATTTTAGTGTAGTAGCCAAGAAAAGTTATAATTAAAGCTAAGGCGAAGCTAAAGGCCAAGCAAGACATTTCACATTAATTGGTTAGTTTTTACGTTTAAATCAAAATGTGTACATATGTATGAATATTTATTTTACCTATTTCTTGTCTTTATTTAAAAAGGTGGACATTTGATAAAATTTAAATGTTTTCTTTTTCGTTTATTTGTTATTGTTTCTCAGGAAAAATGTTTCTCTCTTGTGTATATGTAAATACAACAATTTAAATATGTTTAAAACGTTTAATGGTTAAAGAGTTGGCCAAAGTTGAAACAAAGCTTAAAATGTGTTGCCCAAATCCTTTAATAGAAGTTATTGAGTTTATTTTGGTACACTGATAAAAAAAACACGGAAATATTAAATCACAAGTGATGATGTGGAGACGTGGGTTTGATTCACGCCAAAGGTTTATTTTTTATAATTATATTAATAATAATAATATAATATTTTTTACACTATTTTGCCTACTCTACTGAATTTTAACTCTTTTCAATATTGACATTTCCATGATGCATATTTTATTTCTATATATATATATATATATATATATATATATATATATATATATATATATATATATATATATTTTTGTATAGAACCATTCCTCTGTTATTATGAATTAATTTTCTTGATGTTAATTTTATGCCTTTTAGTACACGGATGTAGTTTGGATCAATATTAATATTGAAAGCGAATCTGTTACAATATGTATTTATACCACACAACCGCCGAAAACCGAGTTGAGCGTTCTAGTCAATTGAAATTTAATATATTTCTAGTATATTTAAATCGACTACAAAAACTTCGATTTAAAGTTAAGAAAAATATTATAATTGACTATGGAATATAGTAAATTTAACTATTTGTTTTTTGAAGTGTGTGCATATTAATATTTAATATGGTTCAACATTAAATTGAATATGACACACTTTAATAACGAAGTTTTACACTTTGTTTTGAATATTATGCATATTAAAATCACTAATTGAATATGTTTTTAGTTAAATTTACGATGTTTATATTTGATTTGAATATAATATACAAGTAGTAGAACATTAAAATTAATATGAAAATATTCATCTGTACAATGCCACTTTTTTATCAGTGTAATTAGTGTTGCCTGCTACAGAGAATTTCTATTTCGTTCTATTGTTGCATCTTGCATGTGACGTACACACATACGTGAAGAAACTACAACTACTAGCCAATAATAATATAATAATATAATAGTTGAAATAATAGTTGATGTATTATTTTAATAATACATAATACTTAGAAACTTTTTAAAGGTTTACTTAAAATAATTCGACGAACTCGTTGAACACAACATACGTGCATGCTGACACAATAATTTCGATAGCTGAGCCAAAAATAAGTGAATATGCATCCTTCTGGGAAATTTAAGCAAAATTGCGCCCCACATCCTTGCCCGGTTTACACAATAAATCACGGAAAGTAAGCGAACAATTCCGTTGGCGTTCCATCTCGCAGCATAAACAATAGATAAGCTTCGGTTAGGAATGTACATATGTATTTGTGTGTGTGTCTGTGTGTGTCTGTGTGTGTGCGTAGAAGGAGTCAAAGATAAATTGTGGTGCGGCACTTCATCATAAATTCAAATCAACAGGTTTTTATTTTTACAACGCCAGCAGCCAGCAGCCATAAGCTCTGTCTCTGTCTCTCCCACTCCCAATCTTCATATGCAGACACACACACACATACACACAGTTGCTTGCGTGGCGCGCCATAAAAGTCGCAGACAGGCAGAGAGATGCTGACTGACAGTTAAAGAGAGTGTGCGAGTGAGAAAGAGAGAGGGAGAGAGAGCGCTTGCGGCTGCTGGCGCGCTGATTGAATAAAAATTTCATTAAACGAACATTTGTTTGTAGTCGAGGGCCCCTCAAGCGTTGTTTCCCCGCCCCTCCCACTACCCCCTCCACTAGCGCATGATCCTTCAAACTTTTGCGGCTGTTCGCTCGTGTTTTTCCGCATTATTCTGCAAATGTTTTTTTTTTTTTTTTTGACTACTGCTGTCGTCGTCGCAGCCGTTTATTTTAATTGGCAGCATTAAGCGCCGCTGATAGACGATAAAAGTCCTGTTGGCTGCGAATCCGCCGGCTATGAGAACATAACTATGCTCATATATGTATGTAGGTATATACATATGTATGTACATATGTATGTATGTCGCCATCGTCATCACAAGATGTAGGCACTTCAAGCGATTTTTATGCACATCTGCGGGGGAGACTGCGCCTTTTTTCCACCGTTTTTGTTTTACGCGCCTCGTCGGCTTCATTTCCGCTTACGCAGCCAACTGACGACCGCCATTGATGCGGCTGACACTCTGTGGGGGTGTCCTTAGTGTTGATAGGTGCGCTCTGTGTGGTTAGAGCGGCGGGGAAGGTGTAAGTGGGTGCTGGGGGGTGGCCGGATGCGTGCTATAGTCAGTTTTTGTGGTCGCTTATGCGGTTGTTAAATCGTTTTTATGACGTATCCTCCACAGCTATTTACATTTGCTGTTTTAGCTTTTGCTTCATGTATCTAAAGCCTTGCCTGCGGATTTACATACATACATATGTACATACATATGTGTGTGTGTGTATGGTTGTGCGTATGTGCGTTATGGCCGCTGATTTATGCACCTCTTGGGTGAAGAGCGGGCTTATCCTCTCCACGCACAAGTCACTGCTAATACACAGTGCTGTCTTTAGTCAGATACGAAAATGTATGTGGCTGATGTTCGTGGATGGCTTTGAAGAGCGGAAAGTGTCATTAGGAGAACTCTTTTACTGCAGTCTAGAAAACTCTCTAGAAACTCTGAGTCCCTAGCGAACTATTTGCGCCCAAAATGAAAGTATACTTGAAAACCCATACTAAATAAAAGGTTGTCCATTTAATTGAGGTACTGGTGTTAACAATTCAGGAATATTTGTAATTCTTTGATCAATGATATTTGTTTTCTTACAAATGATGTTGGTTTAAGTCGCGTATATATATATGTATATCTACATATATCTATTTTAAGTCTAACAGGCTTATTGATATTTATTTTCAAAGAAAATTATGCTTAGTATCAAAGCTAGTTTCAACTCATATCATGGCTTAATATTTTCGTGCGCTTTTTAAAAATAAGAATAATAATTTAATTTTAGAAAGGTAATTTCTAAGTTTTTAATTTCAAATATGCATCATGACAGAACGCATGATTGAACAAATCCAATGCTACCATAAAATTAAATAATTGTCCTCCATAGGACAGATCTAAAATAAAGAATAAAGATTAAAAAAAAAAAACAAATATGCAAGTTTTTCATTAAACAAAAATATAAATCTATTCAGTTATGTTACATAGTGTAGTAACATTATTTATTATTTATTTATTATTGATTTTATACCAAAAAGATGGCAAGCAACGCTGAAAGTTTCATTGCTTTCAGTTAACTAAAGTTATTGGAAGATTTTTACACATTCTATATACTTATTAGAAGAAAATAATGAATGATTAGAACTGTCCATAAAAATCGAAATTTAAAATTGAATTAAATTAAAATTTAAAATTGTTCAAAAAAATGTTCGCGGACTTACATTTAAATAAAATACATTATGAGCAGTAGTTGCCACATGTTTTAGAAATGGTGAAAAATTGTGTCTCAGCTCTAGGTTGTGAACATTCGCCCCAAAACTGTCGCAATTGTTCTCAAACTGTAAGGGTGCAGAGCTTGGATAGTCGTTGTTAGGGCGACTTAGTGAGGTGGTTCTTGCATTTGCTGTTTGGTAAAGGTGAATAAATAATTTTAAATAACGTGGCTTCACAATGCTGTGCAGTCAAATGCCCGATGGAATTCGAAAATGCTCAAATTAATCGGAAAGAATTGCAATTGCTGCTTTTGTTTTAGAACTTCCAGAACAGCCAGATAGAGGAGTACAAATCATAATAATAAGGAAGTTTAATAGTAAAACACATAAAAACTCGACAAATTCAAATGATATCTATAGATAAATTCAAATGCATACATGTGGATTAAAGTTGGAAATAAATGTGCCCTTAATTGAGCGATTTAAGCATAAAATGCTGTTGGCATGGGGACAGTTACTACAACAATTCAAACAACGGCCGCGGTCTGTGCGTGTGTGTGTGTGCATAGATATCGGGGCTATTTTATCTAAAGAGCTCTCTGCAAATAGAGGTATGTACATATGTGTCTGTACTCATACCATGAAAACTGAAGTCAGATAACGACAGGTAGACTGCAGGTGAGCGAACTTAGATCGTCGCTCTTTCTCTCGCGCTCTCTGTTGTCCAAGAGAGCGCGCGTCGCAGGTAAAATTCAAATGTGGCTTTGTAACGAACTTTTGGAGATCGCGCGCGCAAGCCAAGTAGTCAGGTGCGAGAGGGACGGCAGCTGAGTGTGACGCGTGTGACTGAAGCGGCACTAGGCTGGAATTGAACGAGCGCGGCCTGCGCTGAGCTGAACCGTACTGAGCGTGTCAAGCGGAATAGCGCGGCAGTTTCTCAGCGCGCATACCTGTCGCCGGACGTGTTTTCCAGCAGCGAAGCTAGACGAGTTACCTGCGCTGTCGCTAACGTATATTGTGCAAGTGTATGTGTGAGTGTATTATGTGTGTGTGCTTGTATTCAATTAATTACAAAAGCAAAGGTAATGTCGATTGAAAGCAGCGAAAAGAAAGCCAGCCAAGAGAAAAGGCAGCATGCAAATATTTGCTAAATAATAATAATGAAAAAGTGTGAAACAAATTAAAAGTGCAATTAAAAAGCAGCAACACCAGCATCCACAACAACAACAACAACTACAACAAGAACAACAACAACTACAATCAAGCACGGTGCAGACAAGGTAAGCGCAACGGTGTGGCAAAGATGCACTGAACTTGAAGTAAAAACAAAAAACGGAAGAAAAAAATCGACAGCGAAAATATTTAATGAGCGTGGCCAGCACTCATGTGTGTGTGTGTGCAGAGTCGCTCTGCATGTGTGTGTGTGTAAAGCAATAACTGAAGCATAGGCAGCAAGCAAATGTATCTGTGAAATACCAAGCAACGACAACAACAGCAACAACGCGATTTAAAATTGCACTTGAAAAGCGAGCCAAGTTAACAAGACAAGACAAAACAAGACAAGTAGAAAAATCAGTACAAAACGGTATAAACGTGATTCTTTTCCACCATCATCATGACCAACACCATCATTTGGCTGCCGTTTCCTTGCCAACTCTCTTAGCCAACGCATAAACATTTGCTGGCATTTACACAGGAAAAAAAAACACAGAAGAAAAACTTCACTTTGAAAATGAAAATAAGATCAACGTGATACAATATTTGCCACATTATTGAAATTTGTAAAACCGCTTTTTTTTAATTTTTCGACAGAAAAGGAAGCTCATATTTTAATTTCCATATCAGAATAACGATTATGGGATAGTTTTCAACATCCCATTGATTTTTTCTCTGTGTATTTGTGTGTCTTAGGCCATTGCGCCGCATCGGTCGCCTCATCAACTGGGCAGCAACATTGACGGTGATAATGATGATGATGAGGTTGTTTTTGTTGTTGTTGATGACGACAGAGTCGTCCATTTGGCGCTGCAACTGTACGCGACAAATCCAAATACATGCAGATAGTTGTACTATATGCATTAGCTGTTGCTGCAAGGACGGCCAGAATCAAGGAGCAATTTACAAAAAGAAATGAAGCGTGGCATCAACCACAACATCAGCATCAGCATCAACATCAGCACCAAAGCGACGTCTCAGTTGAGCGATCAATGCGAGGCATTTATTGCGCTACAAAAACAAACAAACATAAAGACAAACAGACAGACCGAAAAAAAATAACAACAACAACAACGATAAACACAAAAAAAAAAAACGCAAATCTGGCGCAATTGAGCGCGAATGCCAAACCAGAAAAACAACCAACAACAACAAGAATGCTCATACATACATAGTTAGCCGGCCTCAAGTTACGATGACGATGACGACGACGACGACGGCGGCTCTAAACTTTCAGTTGGGCTTGCGAACAAAGTCGAGGCGACTTTTCACTGAATGAGCCACATTCCGGTTTGGTTTCTGAACAGCAACAACAAGCCACAAAGCATCCCCAAACCCACACACATACTATACACACATTTTAAATAAAAAAAAAACCTTTTCATTTCCAATTGAAAAGCAAGCCAAGCTGCTGTCGCTGTCTCAGTCGCTGTCACTGCCGCTGCCGCCGCCGGCTGACGAGAACGTCGCAGTTGCCGTGCCACCGTCGCGGCTCAAAACATGTTCGAGCTTCAAACCCAAAGCCAAGCCACAACCAACGCGAGTCAGCAAAGTTGTTAAAAAATAAAAATAAAACCAACATGGCCAGTTTTTTTGAATTTTTATTTTGCTGTGACTCGTTCGGCGACTGCTGCGACTGCGCCTATTTCAGTGATGTTGACCGCGACGCTGACGGTGACGCTGACGTCGCATTCCAACGTGCGCGTCAACGCCGACGTTGCTTGCATATGTCCATTCCTGTTTCGATTCCAGCAACAACAAGCAGTGAGAAACAACAAATTTTTGCTGCACGTCGAACTTTTTTGTTACTGTTTCCTTTGCGTTTTTGTTTCTTTTTTTTTTTTGAGAAATTCCACGAGGCAGCCACTTAGCCATTCCTTTTGGGCCGCAACGCATCGTGGCCACAACGAAAACGAAAAGTGTGAAAAGTGAAGTGCCCAAACTTTTCAGTCAAACTACATTTTGCGTGCCGTCTTCGCATTTCTTCTTCTTCTTCTTAGTTCTACACCCTTCGATCGAAATGAAAGAGCATGTTGCGTGTGGCATGCAGGTACTCGTATGTAACCCACAAATAATGGACTCAAGATATCCGCGGTGTCTGTCCATTCCATTGGCCAGAGTTGTCAAACTATTTATTTGTATTATTTTATTTTAGCTGCTAAAGCTTCGAAAAAATCTGCTAAAAGACTATTTAGGAATATAATTAGCACAACATATAGCAAAATTATTTTAAATAATTTCCATTTAATCATTTAGCTCTAGTATAGTAATGCTTCGCTGATCATTCTAATATGAATTTTAAGAAAACAACAGATATACACAGCTAGGAAGAATATTTTCTGAACCCATAAGAGCTCGTCCAATATCATGGGAATGCAGATACAATAAAGGAACCGCGGGTGTAAAGAAATGATATTTTGAATAACACTACAGTGTATATAGAATTGGTGCAACAATCCACATTTTTTGGGTCTCATTGTTTTTTTTTTTTTTTTGAATTTTTGTATTTTGGTTGCTGTTTTTTTTTTTTGTTTGTTTGTTGGCCAGCCCTATAGACGCGTCATCGTAGCTGCCCGCACATTTTTCGTTTACTCGAAGCATTTTTTTTCACCATTGTTTTTTTTTTTTTGCTAAGCCCCAAAAGTTGTATGTGCGAGGCGCCGGAGCGGTGAGCATGCACCTTTTGTTTTTTTTTCTCATTTTTTTCACATGTAATGTGAGGTCAGTAACACTTTTGTTTCAAACATTTATCACGCTCCGCTTGTGGATGGAGGCGTCAGCTCGTATTGGCCATGTGAGAGGGCGCGTGAAGTTCAAATGGTTTCAGGCTTAAAGGGGTTTTAATGAACTTGAAGCAGCTGCTCATTTGCCGGCTAGCAGGGCAGTTTAAAGACTTCAATCCACACTCAATGGCACTTTAATGGATGTAGGGCCTACATAAATCTTCTTGCCCTAAATAATTACCAATATTTGTATAAGTATATGTATATCGGTCACAAAATTCATTCGTACACTGTTATTTTGTTCGATCCGGTAATTGATATTCAAATCAATACATCCATTTAAGCGGAAGCACAGAATAAATATTATTGAAATGTCAACATTTGGGATAGAATTTACAGCAAAAGCAGTATCTTGATAGCATCATTGAAACACAAATAAAATCTGGGTGAGACTAAGCACGATCTAATATAATAACGATTGCTATATATTTTTAAATTCCTTTTCTTTAATGCAATACTATTTTCCATTTAAAAACTGTAAAAATATAGTAGTTTCAAAATATTTGTAAGCTTACCTCAATGAACTTTCGATAGATCTGATGAACTCGATCTTTCCAAAGAGATAACAAAGTAATTTGCTTTATTTGTATTCATTTATTTATTTAGAAAGTGACAACCAATTTCGTACTAAGCAGACTCGATTTCGTCGAAATGGAAACCATTGGTATTCCAAATTCCAAATACCGCATACCGTTGGCTTTTCACTTGATTGTTAAATTACATATGGGTTTGTTTTTGTTTTGTCATTTTAAATTTAGTGTCGATATTCTTGATTTGACGAATTAGACTCACACTAGAAACATTTTTGAATCCGAATACAAGACTAACATTATTTGACTCAGGGCTTGTGCAGGTCTAAAAAGCTCAGAAAAAGCCCTCTATGTATAGGTTTAATTTATTTCCCTTTTGCACTACGAAAAACATAAAAATAGATGCACCAATTTTATAAATATAAAATAAACTATAACAAAGAAGGAATGGTTGGTGGCTCGAAGTGAAAAAAAAATTGTTTATATGCTTGCAATGCAGTTTAAAAATCTCTTCTTTAACTGTTTTAATTTGTAAATTGTACACTCGAATATTTGTAGGAAAAGCATTTTTGCTGCATTACCGCTTTTCCTTTAAGTCTTTTGATCCTTTGACCGTCTAAAATAAAAAAATAAAAGCACTGCTGCCTCAAAATACGCAAGGGTTCTTCAAATATTTCATCAGGAATATGTCATTTAGATTAAATAATACAGGAGTAAGCATGAAATAGGAGCAGGGTTCCATACATACATACATATTATTTACAGCAGATACCTTTACGGATTACCGACTTATACAATATCTACTAATAGGCGCGATCGCCCTACATTGTATAAGAAGTACACCTAATTCTGTTTTTACAGATTAGATTGTATAGATTGGTTCCTAAAATTGTCGTGTAAAAAAACCCTGTAAAAAGGCATTGATCATATGCAACATTTTTAATTTTCAAACTATATTAAATCAAAGCCGTGGAAAAACAGAATTAGGTGTAAATAACTATGACATTCTTAACCTCTGTCTATACCTGTTTAAAAGACTCACATGGCGCAAACATATCGGGGTAAAACGGAGTATCAGCGCACGTTCTTCTCTCAGATATCCAGATTCTAGAATATACTCGTAAAGACCTATACTTGTACCACTTATGGGTCACAGCTATGTGGAAATGTATGTGCCAGCCATTATAATCAGTACTTGAGCGTCCCCGATCTTCGCAGCGAATGATCGTAACATTCCAAGAATAATATTGGAAGTTCAACACATGTATTCCGACAAACTAAATGCTCATTCGAACCTAATTGTCGAATCTCTTATTTTCCAAGCTGGAGCCCAGAACTAGATATCAAATTTGGATAATTTATATTAGAAAGAAATAATAAACCAATAAAAAATAGGCGATGACGTTTGCCGAAACAAAAGTTGCTGAAAATATAATTTTATCTGAAATTTCAAGATAACTTATAACCCCCTAGCATCTATCCATTTGCACACTTGCAACAAAGCTGGCTGGACATGATTTCAGCTTACAATGTGACTATTTTGAAAAGAGTATTTTCATCAAAACGGTCTTTTTTTAGATGCGTCAAACTATGTTGCGCTTTTTGTTGCAAAACAAAATTCTTACGAGCTGCTTTGACTTCAATTGTGTGCTGAAATGTTTGTTCAATTTATTGACTCATTGACACACTCGTAGATACATATGTATGTTTGACGGGTGGTAGCTTTTGACCGCTTTTCAATTATGCGTGTGC